CCAAGAGTTTGAGGTTGCTTGAGCTATGGTGCCACGGCACTCTACTGAGGGTGACAAAGTAAGACTCTATCTCAAAAAAAAAAAAAAAAAAAAAAAGACGTTTATTCTGAGCTGAACGTGACAGACCTGGAGCAAGCACATGCCCTCAAAGAGGCCCTGAGAAAATGTGCCTGTGATAGCTGGGTTATAGTTTGGTTTTATATGTTTATGGAGACAAGAATTACATGTAAAACCCTAAGACTAAGTCAATAGATGGAAATGTGGAGGGCCTATGTTGGTTTACATTCCGAAAAGGTGGAACATCTCAAAATATGTGTGGGGGTAGGGTAGAGGGATGGCTTATAGGTTATAGTGGGTTTAAAGACTCTTTGATTTGTAATTAGTTAAAGAATTGAAATTGTCTGAAGGCTTGGAATATTTTAACCTAAGATTATCAGTTAAGCAGAGGACATTTATGGGAAACTTAAGCGATCTGTTGAAAAAGTTGAGGGCCCACAGGTGTGGTTTAAGCTATATCATGTATAGTCTAGAGGCTGTTAATGAGTTACAAAGGATATCTCCAAGATGGGAGGGGAGGATGGGGAGGCATATGTAACCTCTCTTCTCATGCCAGCAACTCAGCTTTAGGGCATTTTTGGGATTTCCTTGGCCAAGGGAGGGTCCATTCAGTCAGCTAGGGCACTTAACATTTTATTTTAGTTCACAGTTTCATGCTTGGACTTTAGCAGAGTATAAACAGACCTGTTTTCTGTGTTTTTCATTGTCTCACTCAGAGGCCTGGGAGGCAGGGATAATTTAGGAAGTTGGTGCCAGTTAGAATAAGGGCTAAGGCAGGTCCACTTGCAATAGCCAAGGCGCTGTGGGAACATAGATTTGATAGGAAGTAGTATATAGGGAAAGAAGAGAAAGCCAGTGCTGTGGCTAGCATGGGCTAGTTTGGATGAAGATAAGTAGCTAGGTTATGCACAAAGTTATTACCATAATTATTAATAGTTGTCTTCTCCCTTAGTCTTTAGGCCTCATTTCCTTATGTTGAGGTAACTAAACAACCCCCAAGTGTTCTCCTAGCTCTGATTTCTCCCCTACAGCCCATGTGATACAGGCTGCCAGTGATCTTCCTAAGCGACGTTTGAGTTCTATATCTCCTGCTTGATTTCCTTTTGCTATTTTCTTTAATTTCTTTCCTGTGCCTAGCACTCTATCTCTTCAAATATGGCCTTATCCTTTCTTAATTTTCTAGATACACCTCCTACCAGTGGTCTGGCTCTCTACTCCTCTTTGTCTCATAAACATTCTGTGTTTATTTCCAGTCCCCTTTCTTTGCTTACATAGTTCTCTTTAACCCCCCACATCCCTCCGCTCACTCCCTGGCCCTATCAGATTTCAGGATTAATTGAATGTGCCTTTGTATTCAGTATTAATGGAATGTGCTAGCCTCACTTTTTATGATCCTTTCTTGACTTTTATACCCCTGCTGATCTCCCTCATTTCAGTACTAACTCCAATAACACATAGTCTGTATCTCTTCAATTTAGCATTATTTAGAAATTGTCCTGCTTTGTGACTTTGATTGTCTTGTTTTGTTTGTAAATTTGTCTTTCTCCACTAATACTGGCATTACTAAAGTACAAGTCATCAGTTTATTCCTACCTTGTAAAGGGAATGTGGCGGAAAGGGAGCGTCTCTATCATGTATCAAGCCCTATATGCCAGCTGATTACATACACAATTTAATCCTCAACCTCTCTATAAGCTAAGTGTTATTAACTCCATTTTAGAGATGATAAAACTATAAATGAGTGGCATGCTTTTTCTTACTTACTTAATGTAAAGCCTAATTTGTCCTTCAATGCTTTGACTATTACACTGCATACTCTTACTCTGTTACAGCTTAGAGTAAGCTCATTGCAAGTTCATTGTAAACTTCCTTTTCATATCCTACCACTGTGCTCATGCACCACATAAATTCTTTTTTTTTAAGGTCACATCAGTCCTGAATTAATAAAAAACCACTAACTGAGCTTTTTAATTTTTCTATGCCACTGTAGCTTTCTTTCACCTCATTTTAATGTCTGTCTTCACGTTATGCCATTTTCAATATTCTTCCAGAAATCTTCCAACAGTAGCCCTCTGTCTGATCTGAGGTCTTATCAGATCAGTTTTAATTGGACTGAGTGTCACCTTCAGATTTAATGTCTTCACTGGTCCCATTGAAGGGACCACTGACACTCATTCTTAGTGTCACTTTCCTTCTGTTCAATGTTTGTGTCTTCACTCTGTTTTTCTTGACTACTAGACTTCACACTACTTTTTTTTTTTTTGAGACAGAGCCTCAAGCTGTCCCCCTGGGTAGAGTGCCATGGCATTACAGCTCACAGCAACCTCCAACTCCTGGGCTCAAG